AAAAAAAGCATTTCAATATTATTTAAAATGGTTACAAAGACCAGATGATACAATAACAATTTATCATGCTGTAGAACCAGTCTCATTACCAACTATATCATTATCAAATCCAATTAGTATACCAAGTGATGAATGGTCAAATCTTGTACAAACTAATGTAAAACGTGTACGTGAATTAGAACATGATTATAGTACAGATTGTTTAGCACATAATTTACCTTATCAATTTTTATATGAATCAGTCAATCATATTGGTGAATCAATTATAAAAAAAGCGGAACAAATCAATGCATGTTTAATTATTATTGGTAGTCGTGGTTTAGGTGCTATCAAACGTACCATTATGGGAAGTGTTAGTGATTATGTTGTACATCATGCTAATACAACAATTTGTGTTGTACCATGGATTGATGAAACTTCACAAAATACATCATAATTCATTAAATGGTTTCACCATAATGAAATATAGATATATATATGCATACAGATATTACGTAATCAACATGTATATGATATAAGGGTTTGTTATATTCTCTCTGTGTGTATGTGTGTGTGTAACTCATCGATTTCTTTTTGTCATGGCAACTATTTTAAATTGAATTTTTGTTCTGTAGAAACTACAATTTAGTTGTGTGTTTTTTTCATTTTGTTTGTATGTCATATAGTAACGTATATATATGCATATATATTTCTTTATATTTGCGCCATAACATTCTGATTACATTTTGGAATAATGATTCTAGTCCCATGAAGTCATTCTTTTCTTTTCCAAAAAAGAATGATACATACATAGAGAGCGAGCAAGAGAGAGGGAATGATTGAAGTGTTCAATGGAAAATGTTTTCATTATTTACTACTTTTTCTACTCATTTCACTGTTATCATTTGAATCTTCACTTAACACAAGTAAATATAATTAGTAGAACATCATTATTTAGACTTTTCGTTTTTACAATGTTAGGTGGGCCCATTTCTATAGAAAAAATCGATGTCTAATAGTTAGAGATGTTGTTACTAGATCAGTCAGTCAGTAACAACTCAGAACTTCGTACGTACGTACATCAGTTCGAGTTGCCATACCACATTAGCACAGAGATACAATTGTCGATTCAAATCCCGTAGTGATAGAGGCGGTAAGAGTATAAGCAGTAATCGGAAACGTTAGGGCTTAAAGATGTTATTCAAGGAGTATAATCCAGTGAAATAAATTTGGAAAGAGAAAACAAAAAGGGACATGAAGAATTCAGAAGATTAGAATTTGGGAGAACACAGAGAGTGTATGCACCTGCGCCATTGCAAACGATTTTGAGCCATGTCATGTTACCAGATGATTTAGCCTAATGTTGAATTTATTTATGATTATCTGAAATCGATGATTTAATATTCATTAATGAAGAATAATCAATTCTGTATTGAATAATCTTTAGTGTGAATCAATTAGTTCATTATACCAACAACAACAACAACAACAACAACTGTGTACTACAATGTCAAATCAGAAGGAATCGATTATGTTCCAAATAGTTCACTTGTCATATTTTTAATAATCAAATGTATTTGAACTTTACAATGATTTTATATTCCTTTAACAATTTAAAGGAGAATTTAAATTTCATTCCATTGCATAAGCTAATGACTATCAGGATTCACTAGTTAAATGGATAATGCGATGGCATTTAGAGTGAACGGTACTAGGTTCGAGTCCTAGAGTGAACCTTAACTCTGAGATGCAGATACATCCAAATGACAAGTCCCAAACAGGACGAAACGCACATCAAACTGGATTCCACTACTAGCCACTATCCATCTTTACTTAGAATGCTTGTGAATCAAGGCAATATCGAGGCAATGCGCACAGTATGTACATAATCCAATAAGTGACTGATCAAATACAGTCCTAAACATCAATGGGAAGATTCAAGTAAAACAATACCAAGTGAATTTAAGGTGTAGTTTTTCCTGTGACTTTCATTTAACTATCTAATGCCGAACGAAACTGGACCATTATGTTAAGTCATTTAGACTAAACTTCATTTAGGAGCTTAGTGAACAGAATTATATTAACACTTTAAAAGATTAGAAATTATAATATTGATTACTCAAACAATTATGGATTATTGTAAATTTTCCTTCTTGGTACCAAAACAACATTTATGAGTGAACAATATTCTTTCTAGTTATATTGTTATTAGATTCCATACTAACATTAAATAAGCATTTGTGTAAAATACTGAATTTGTATCTACCATGCTACCAGATAACATATTCAACAAATAAGCTATAACCTCTTCTCATGATTTGGCAAGAATTTGAGGAGATCTCTATATGACTCCATTCAATCATATTGTGATGTGTGCTACTGATGTTAACAGATATAAGTAGTATGTATCATTAATCAAAAGTGAAATGCCTGGTGGCAGAAGGTTAAGAACATCGAAGAAAAGAGAATAATTGCTGTAGTAATGAAGGAACAGTGAAGTCTAAAATGATTGATTAACATTTTGCAAATGACATAGTTGGGTACATTCCCCAATGTGTATCCTATCCACTTCCAGCGCTTCTTCCTGATTTCTTTCTTCTCTAGGATCTGGTTTGTTCTCTCCCACAATAGGTTGTTGATGATAGTGTCTGGCCGACAGATCCGAAGTATTTTGCATAGTCAGTTTTTAATAAACATTTGTATGTTCTGGATGATTGCTTTCGTAGTTCTCCAACTTTTCGCCCCAGTAGACAGTAGAACTGTCTTGACATTTGAATTGAGAATTGTGACTTTGGTGTTGGTTGACAGAATGTTGTTTTGAGTTTCAGATATTCTTCAATTGTAGATATAATGTTCTGATCATTATTCATAATATTCACTACTATATCTTTTATCTTACTATTAGTTTGTACTTCTTACTCATTACATAATCCTTTCTCTATTGTTATTACTAACCCCATAAACTAACTAAGCTATTTGAATAGTTTACATACATAATGTATGAATATTACTATATATTAGATTATAACATAATGAGGCATTATTTGAATGCATTTGTTAAATATCTGTATTTATGGTTAGAATGGAGGTGAAAATACTTTTATATTTATATTATACTCATTAAAATTCTATATCAAAAAGGAAGATAGCTTAATCTTTAATGGTAAGTAATTAATGTAAATAAAAAAGTAGGTAAGTAGATGTTAATCTTACTTACGCCCGTTACTCCTTGTCGAGGAGCATAGGCCGCTCACCAGTATTCTCCATACAACCCTGTCCTGGGCAATCCTTTCCAGCTCCTTCCAGTTGTTATTCATGTTTTTCATATCTGCCTCTATTTCCCGACGTTATGTGTTCTTTGATCTTCCTCTTTTCCGCTTCCCTTCAGGACTCCAAATTAGGGCTTGCCTCGTGATGCAGTTTGCTGATTTGCGTAATGTATGTCCCATCCATTTCCATCGTCTTTTCCTAATTTCTTCTTCAGCTGGAAGCTGGTTTGTTCTCTCCCAAAATGGCTGTTGTCAATGGTATCCGGTCAATGGATGATAAGCATCTTGCGTAGACAACTATTTATAAACACCTGTACATTTTTGATGATGGTTGTAGTAGTTCTCCAAGTTTCAGCTCCGTACAGTAGAACTGCCCTGACGTTCATATTGAAGATTGTGACTTTGATATTGGTTGGCAATATCTATTAGCGTTAAATATATATAATATAACGGTTTAACTTACGTAATCTTACGTTGAAATTACATTATACGAATGATTGGTTGGATCGATCTATTGTAATCTGATAGCTAGACTATTCATCATTCATAGAATACTTGAAAGCATTAAGAATCTTATTGTGAAAGGATTTATTCAGTACGAACAATTCATGAGAGTTCATATAGATAAACTGAAACTTCATTTTTGATTGAGATCATGAACCGCTTGATGTTAGACCACCTTTGTAAACCTGGAAGCACTGGACGGCCGTTTCGTCCTATTGTGGGACTCCTCAGTAGCGCGCACCCACGATCCCGCTCGCGCGCGAACACTTAACCTACTGGACTACTGAGCCGGCATCCAATGGTGATAGTGTCTAACATCAACCAATCCACGAAATTGCTTCACATGTCGAAACTATGTTATCAAATGGCTAATAAACGTTACTCACTGTTGACCTTAACGAAGTTCAGTAAATAATTCAATATTCGATAATCAGTTTTGAGCAGCCTTAATACATTCAACATTGTAAATGTTTTGTCTAAGGTTCAGTAATATTTTTTTGACCCTACATGAATATATATTATCGAATAAACAATCAGTAGTAGTTCAACTTAAGGTCAGATACTATATCCTTAGTTTTGTAAGATACTTTTCAGGATATAAAGGTATATTCATTATCGAAAAGTTCCATTTTAATTTGTTTAAGTAAAGAAATTTAAAATTAGTACCAAAAGGGGGGTTTTGTAAAGATTGCTGTAATTTAATAGCCGAGTTCATGAGCCAATTGAAGTTAGACCACCACGGAAAAACTAGAAGCAATGGATGACCGTTTTGTCTTCACTGAAGATAATGGCGAATGTTTCGCTCATTTTCGTGGATTAGTTGAAGTTAAATATTAATACCGTTGGATGTCGTCTCAGTGATCTGGAGGTTAATCGTTCTCACGTCTGACCGATAGGTTCTGGGTTCCGATCTTGCAAGGTAGGATCGTGGATGAACGCTGCTGAGGAGTCCTACACTAGGACGAAATGGCCATCTAGTGCTTCCAGGTTTTACAAGGTGTTCTAGTTTCAATTGACTCATGATCTCAACCATTAAACGTATCTAGAAGTGGAAAACTGACAATACGGTTTGTGTAATAATTCTAGAAAAAGTAAAGAGTTTCACAAAGTTCGGACATTGGATGGAATAAAAATCATTCAATGAATTAGGTAATTTCAAAGTGAATGAAATAACAATTAGCTAAGTGAAAATCACCTAACATAATGTAAATTATTCTACTGAGACAATAACGACTACAACTTCTACTACTAATCATCATCATCATCATCATCATCATCATCATCATCATCATCATCATCATCATCATCATCATCATCATCATCATCATCATCATCATCATCATCATCATCATCATCATCATCATCATCATCATCATCATCATCATCATCATCATCATCATCATCATCATCATCATCATCATCATCATCATCATCATCATCATCATCATCATCATCATCATCATCATCATCATCATCATCATCATCATCATCATCATCATCATCATCATCATCATCATCATCATCATCATCATCATCATCATCATCATCATCATCATCATCATCATCATCATCATCATCATCATCATCATCATCATCATCATCATCATCATCATCATCATCATCATCATCATCATCATCATCATCATCATCATCATCATCATCATCATCATCATCATCATCATCATCATCATCATCATCATCATCATCATCATCATCATCATCATCATCATCATCATCATCATCATCATCATCATCATCATCATCATCATCATCATCATCATCATCATCATCATCATCATCATCATCATCATCATCATCATCATCATCATCATCATCATCATCATCATCATCATCATCATCATCATCATCATCATCATCATCATCATCATCATCATCATCATCATCATCATCATCATCATCATCATCATCATCATCATCATCATCATCATCATCATCATCATCATCATCATCATCATCATCATCATCATCATCATCATCATCATCATCATCATTTTGATCACCTTTCGTCCTCCTTTCTCTTCTACTGGTAAGCAGTTCGTAGAGGAGAATGTAACTAAAAAAACAATAATTTATCATAACAATGATAAACTGACAATTACTCCTTATCGAAAGAACAAATTCAACTCATATAAATCAATAATAGATTTGTAGATATCCCAAAGAGTAGAAAAATTAGATTTTCTGACGTTTCGTGACTTAGTGTGAGCCACTTCTTTAGAAAAATAAATGACCAAATTCAAATTAATCATTCTTATCGTTCGATTGTACTATTTAAACTTGGATTAATTTTAATTTGGTTATTTATTAGCTCTGAAGAAGTGGCTTACACTAAGTCACGAAACGTCGGAAAATCTAATTTTTCTACTCATTATGTACTTACTTACTTACGCTTGTTACTCCCAGTGGAGCATAGGCAGCTGACCAGCATTCTTGAACCCACTCTGTCCATAGCCTTTCTTTCCAGTTCTATTCAATTTTTGTTCATTCTTCTCATGTCTATCCCCATTTCTCAGAGTAGTGTGTTCTTTGCTCTTCCCCTTCGTCCCCTTTGGTCTTGAGGATTTTGTGTGAGGACTTGCCTTGTGACGCAGTTGGGTGCTTTTATCAATGTGTATCCTATCCACTTCCAGTGCTTCTTCTTGATTTCTTCCTCCAATGGAATCTGGTTTGTTCTCTCTCACAGTAGGTTGTTGATGATAGTGTCTGGCCGACAGATCCGAAGTATTTTGCATAGACAGTTTTTAATAAACATTTATATGTTCTGGATGATTGCTTTCGTAGTTCTCCAACTTTTCGCCCCAGTAGACAGTAGAACTGTCTTGACATTTGAATTGAGAATTGTGACTTTGGTGTTGGTTGACAGACAGTTGTTTTGAGTTTCAGATGTTCTTCAATTGTAGATATGCAGCTGTTGCTTTGCTGATTCGTGACTTCACATCTGCATCAGATCCACCGTGTTCATCATTGATGCTGCCGAAATATGTAAAGGTTTTTACATCTTCCAAATCTTCTCCGTCAATTGTGATCGGATTGGTGCATGCTGTGTTGTATCGGAGAATATATTGTTTATTTATTTATAACAATCTACCAGTCGCTCAATTTATTCGAAATTATCAAGTTAAACCTTGGTAATGATACCTACAAACTCTGCAATTTCATGTCAAATACATTCGATTGTCCCACTGGTGTTCTTTTTCACTACAATGTAACCGCACTGTATTAGGATTCAATAGCTAAATGGATAACGTAATGGCAGTTGAAGTGAATGATACTGGTTTCGAGTCCCGGAGTGAACATAAACAAATGCAGATACATCCAACTGATGAATCCCAAATAGGACGAAACGCTCATCACACTAGATTCTGTTATATTTTGTCGTTTGAATGCTTCTTGTCTTTACTCTTTTTTAATGCTACTTTTTGTATCTGGTCGTCGTTGATTGTTATGTTGGAAACGCTTACCACTTATACTAAGAACGAGGGACCTCTGCAATTCCCACGACGCGAAAATAAGAACACAAAGACTGGTATAAGTGATGATTTATTAACCCGAAAACACGACAACAACGACGACGATTCTAGTCTAAAATACACTGATTTATATACTGATTGAACACCCATTTTGATTAATAATTAGGATGAAATCACATACTGAGCATAGTTCATGTCAATGGAATACAAGAATATCTCACGTATTATACAGAATAAAATATCATAGGAGAAAAGAAAAGAAATACTACATTGAGTAATCATTACATGGAATCAAAACGGAAGTAATTTTGAACCAAAACTCATAATCAGTAAATCAATAGGAAATTGACTTCTCTTTCCATCCTATCAAATCCCACTACTAGACACTATCCATCTTTTTTTAAGTAATGATGGCTAGTGGCTAGTAGTGGAATCCAGGACACGCGTTTCATCCTATTTGGGACTCGTCAGCTGGATATACCTACGTCTCAGAGTTGATGTTCACTCTGGGACTGGAACTCAGTACCATTCGCTTCAAACACCATCACGTTATCCACTCAGCTACTGAATCCTGATAACCACTTGCTGATGCAACGGGAAGATACAAGCCGAACAATACCGAGTGAACTATTCATTTTTGCTTATATAAAGACTTGATCTAATCTTCATTAACTAAATAAACACATAGAATAAAATGAACGAGGTCATTTGACAAAGTTAACACGATTCAACAGTATTATCATACTAATTCTATTCATTAAATGATTATTTATATTACCAAATGAATAGAACTAGGATAGTACCCTTTTTTTTAAAAAATTTTATTATACACAAACAACTTAGCTTCATTGAATATAAATAAACAAAAGATTTCATGATTCATTCAATGAACTATGTCAACGAATTTCAATGTAACAACGAATAGATTCCCGTTTTTTTTTCTGTATCATTCCTAGTGTGAATGTTTAATATACAATTAAGTAATTTGTATTATCTTAACTAAATACATAGTGTATAGATAAGAGTTAGTGTAAACAATTGAATCTACTCGATTATAGTTATGCAATTATATTATATTATATTTGTGAAATTCTATACAGTCATTATTATAAGTGTAAGACAACTGGAATGAATTGTTCAAGAAAAAGTTCGATACAGTATACTGGTACGAAGCCTATGTACCTCAATGAGGGGTAACAGGAATAAGTAAGTAAGTAAGTAAGTAAGTAAGTAAGTAAGTAAGTAAGTAAGTAAGTAAGTAAGTAAGTAAGTAAGTAAGTAAGTAAGTAAGTAAGTAAGTAAGTAAGTAAGTAAGTAAGTAAGTAAGTAAGTAAGTAAGTAAGTAAGTAAGTAAGTAAGTAAGTAAGTAAGTAAGTAAGTAAGTAAGTAAGTAAGTAAGTAAGTAAGTAAGTAAGTAAGTAAGTAAGTAAGTAAGTAAGTAAGTAAGTAAGTAAGTAAGTAAGTAAGTAAGTAAGTAAGTAAGTAAGTAAGTAAGTAAGTAAGTAAGTAAGTAAGTAAGTAAGTAAGTAAGTAAGTAAGTAAGTAAGTAAGTAAGTAAGTAAGTAAGTAAGTAAGTAAGTAAGTAAGTAAGTAAGTAAGTAAGTAAGTAAGTAAGTAAGTAAGTAAGTAAGTAAGTAAGTAAGTAAGTAAGTAAGTAAGTAAGTAAGTAAGTAAGTAAGTAAGTAAGTAAGTAAGTAAGTAAGTAAGTAAGTAAGTAAGTAAGTAAGTAAGTAAGTAAGTAAGTAAGTAAGTAAGTAAGTAAGTAAGTAAGTAAGTAAGTAAGTAAGTAAGTAAGTAAGTAAGTAAGTAAGTAAGTAAGTAAGTAAGTAAGTAAGTAAGTAAGTAAGTAAGTAAGTAAGTAAGTAAGTAAGTAAGTAAGTAAGTAAGTAAGTAAGTAAGTAAGTAAGTAAGTAAGTAAGTAAGTAAGTAAGTAAGTAAGTAAGTAAGTAAGTAAGTAAGTAAGTAAGTAAGTAAGTAAGTAAGTAAGTAAGTAAGTAAGTAAGTAAGTAAGTAAGTAAGTAAGTAAGTAAGTAAGTAAGTAAGTAAGTAAGTAAGTAAGTAAGTAAGTAAGTAAGTAAGTAAGTAAGTAAGTAAGTAAGTAAGTAAGTAAGTAAGTAAGTAAGTAAGTAAGTAAGTAAGTAAGTAAGTAAGTAAGTAAGTAAGTAAGTAAGTAAGTAAGTAAGTAAGTAAGTAAATAAGTAAGTAAGTAAGTAGGGAAGTAATCAATCACCTCAACTACATGATTACTTCATTGCATTATGTATGGATAGTAATAGGTGATTTGCATTCTGTGATAACAATGACAAAAGTATTGATTGAGAGCTTATGTTTATTGTGTGTGTGCACTTGTGTGTGTGTATCATTGAAGTACAGTAGAACAAACCTACATAATTTGAATACGAAATATTCAACTGAAATAAATATGTAGTGGCATTGGACCCTAATCACACAACAATCCCAAAAATTGAACACGAAACAATTGGGAAAATAGATATTCAACATTCAGCACGGAGAAAACCCCTAACGATGGAGAAGGTGGAAAGAATAAATTCAATTACTTCGAATTCATCGGATGACATGGCTCGGCCTTGCAGGTGTGGTCATACTCATGTAACAACTTTTATCCCTATTAAATATATACCGTTCTATCTCCAGCTTAAATGTGTTCTTCATCATATATTGATGATGATTGTTACAATTCGATGAGGGAGATTAGACAATGATGTGACTTCTTTGTAAGATCTCATAGATTAAGCAGTTACATCATGGCAAATCTACAATTTTAGCATTAGGTCTATTAGACCTAGAGCAGTACTAATATCGAAGTAGATCATCATTCTACGAGTCTGTTCGACGACATTAAAACTATCGATATAACATGTAAACATGTAATTTCGTTTAATTGTGCTGTAACTTTTATTGCCCTATTTCAATGATTACTTCACCGTAGTTAAATATTTCATCTATAATATCAAGGTGTATTTACTCAGTGAACTAGTTCTGTGGTGTGTGCCACTGATGAAGTTGACAGATATAAGTAGTATGTGTTGTCATTCGAAAGTGAACTACCTGGAGGCAGAAGATTAAGAAGTTCGAAGAAAAGAGAATGAGAACAGAAAACGACTGGTGTGGAAATGAAAGTACAGTGAAGTTTGAGATGATTGATTGACATTTTGCAAATAAAGTATTGACTGTATGCTTCTCAGATGTTACTGAGAGATTCTGTAATTTGGTGTTCAAATACATCTGATTGTCCCCTTTTTCGTTCTCATTCACTACAGTCCTATTTTTCAAAGTATTTTCAATTGGATTCTGGTCATCTGTCAAGCAAATATCGCCGCACGTTGATCTCCATTCAGATTCATAGTTTTCCGATTAAATGAGGTCAAGCCTAACCATGTGAATATATTTACTGTTTGAAAGGTTATACATTTAGTAGTTCTAAATCTATAAGCAGTTTAAATGAATCATAATAACAATCAGTTGATGATGTCAACGATAAAACTTTGATGAATTCTCTCCCTATCTCTGTTAGCCATCAACCTACACTCAATCCATTCACCAATGTACATAATAATGACAATACGTTTGAGTTGACTATTGATT